ATCCGTACAGGATTAGCATTCTGTACGATGTGTTCCATGGGAACAAAACTGCTCTTGCTTACCTGAAAATAAAATGATGACGGATGTAGGAAGGAGGTACACCCGTCAGTCTATTGGAAGCAGAAGTTCACTAAGCAGGAGTAGAAGTTGGCATAGCTATGTTATATCTGTAATGCGGACAGCATATATACTTCGGCATATGGTTGTCTTCTGCTACATGAGTTGCCAATTAAGATATTCACCAGCTGGGCATCGTTACGATTTTGTTGGAATAATTTTTTATGACCGATTTACTGCAGCTATTATAGTATTCCATACATTACTGAAAAAATAATCCATACATTTTCTTCTTTGCCTCTCTTGTTTCCTCCTTCCGTTGTTTAGAACCACAAAATCAAACTGGTACCAACCTTCTTACCATCTAACATAATCCTACAAAAACTAATAATCAACTTATAACTTATACATGATTGCAATATTACCCTTAGTTATATCACACCATCAAGCTACTACATTTACATACAGTTGCATCCATCATAATATTATAGTGCCAAAATAGATGGGCGTAGCAACGCACACCTACAACGGTCTAGTGTATATCATGTAAGCACATACTTCCTCTGTCCTAAAATAAGTGTCTGAGGCTTAGTACAAAGTTGAGATACTTATTTTGGGACCGACGGAGTAATAAATTGGCTACTACTCCCTCCGATCCATAATAAATTGAGTACAAGTTGCGTTTTGCAAAGACTATCCACCAGTTGGCCATTGCATTGTAAATGTTACGAATCACAAAGTGCAAGGTGCCTCATAAGGGAAGATCGATGCAGACAACTCGCGTCAAGTCTAGTTGAAGTTGAAGACCTAATGTTCCACTTGATATTGATCATCCACAATGTCAATATGGTGCCCTTTTTTGCACCAAGAAACATGTAACAATCTGTTCACTGTTGCAAATCAACCTCCATGCTGGACTTGTCTGTGCCACTGCTTGTAGGCGTACAAACCAAGGATTTTGCGAGCTCTCTGGGGGGGGGGGCTGCTTGTCCCAGGGTTTTTGGGGTCACCCTTACGCTTTCCTCCAAGGAACCCCAAGGCAAGTGCTTCCAAAGCTTTTGCACTTGGAGGTCTGTTCCTGGTTCCATGCCTCCGAGACTTCACCTGTGAAGCCAGATCAGGTTGCAGGCTAGAAGGTTGTCCTGTTGCCTCTGAAACATCATGGACACAATCGCTGTTTGAAATGGCAAGGCCTTCCTCAGCCTTCATGTAACCATGATCGTCTGATGAAGCGACACATACCCTCGTGCTTGTCTTATCATCTAGTGATGTCTCCGGTTTAACCAAAATAGTAACCTGCGCCCCTTTGGTAACTTGCCTCAGCGGTTCTGATCTTTGAACGAACTTCAGGAACCACCTCGACCTTGCACTCAGATGACTTGTCCTCGTTTAAACTGGACACATTCACCTTCTCGTTTGATCTGTCAGTGGTACAAGAGTTTGATGCAACCGTTATCTGCTCGCATGGCTTCTCCTTCGTGGAATATCTCGCAATTATTTTAGTCCGAAATTTTCACTGACATCAGCTGCAGTTGGTTTTGTTGAAGTCCACAGCGGCTTGATTTTCTTTCTCTCTAAACCATGTCCTTTTGAGAAAGAAAAGCTGTGCTGACTGGTCTGATCATTGCTACAGCTGGATAAGCTTCTGCTTTGACACTGGGGTTAAATACTTGAGCCTTTCAGTTTTTGTTTTGGGACCAAAGAGGCATGTCATATCAGTTTTTTCAATACTGCCATTAGAAGAATGGCCATTGACTGGAAAACTCGAGGATGGTGCAGCCAACATGTTTTGCAATGAATTGACTTGGTTTTCTTTGCCTGCATGGCATACTGAAACTATTTCGGCATCATCCACATCAGCTGTAACTTGTCGACAATCTGCCTGGTCATCTGATGATTGATCTTCCGCATCTTGCTCCTCTGAAGAACTGACACTCACAGTATTATAAGAATGACGTGAAGGACCAAAATGGACATTTACATCAGGTGGTAATTTCCTCAGCTCTCTGACTCTGAAGGGCTCTTCCCCTTGGACCAAGGTAGTATCGATAATTGTGAACTTTGGAAGCTCCTGATATCCATCCAAAGGACCATCATGGTTCAGACTCATGTCTGTAGCATATCCACACTGCTCAGCAGTAACACCATTGTCCGCTCCGCCAACTTCTACCTCAAGAAGAACGGGATCCGCCGCAACTCGCTTAAGAACATCGCTGACAGAATCAAAATAATGAGTGCCTTTAGTGAGTTTCCTTCTTGAGAATTTTTTGATACCTGGCACAAGAAACACAAGGCAATTCTTAGTTGTTCTGACATCTTTTGACTGCTCTGAACGCCACCCTCTTGCAAGCAAACGGGGCCAGACAGCTTCCCAGAAAAGTTCATTAGATCTTGTCTTGCTTATTCTGAAACCACCTGTTAAGAACTTAATTATATCTTCCGAAGCAAGCAAGGAACAATCTTTGCCTGTAGGCATGTCAGGGTGAACAGAAAGAGCTTGGTTTGGTTTAGATCGGTCCAGAACATATCCAGTCAAATCATGCTTCCCTTTACCAATTCCAACAGCCTCCACAAAAGCTTCTGTTCCAACAGAGGATTTTATAGCCAAGACAAGATCCTCTAAAGATGCTTGTCCGGCGTTGAAAGATTTGAAAATCTGCAACAGACGAAAGCAATACAATTCCTGGTAAAAACAAAGCAATATAATGCATATGGAAATGGATGATGGAAGAATAGATTTGTTTTTTGGCTTTGGATCAACACGATTTCACTCGTTTATTTGTCCTGGGAATAACGGATTAAACAATACCAAGTACATAATTAAAGCTAGAAAAATAAGAAGAAATCAGGACAGCCAAATGGATTAAACAATACCAAGCACCTGCAATGGCTTTGGTTTTCAGGTTTCAGGTTCATAATCGTAACTGACCATCTATATAAACTGCATCAGAGTAGTCAGATATACTGATATACAAGTGAAGTAGAGCACTAAACAGACTCAGCTGCCTGAACTATGGAGATTTGGAGTAGTATAAAATGAAGAAAAATCTAGATCAAACGTGCTATTTTGAACAATGCAAGTGGAACCAAAAGCTCGAACTAGAGATAATCTCAAAAGAGAAGATTTTAAAACTCGAGAGCAGACAGTTAAACTGGGGAAAACGGAATTGATGACTTCAATGGATTGGTTCCCTACTTCCCTTCAAAGACATACATGCAATGGCATCTTTAAAGAATAACCATATGTGCAGCACCAGCAACAACTCTTCGACATGAACAGAGAGAAAAAAAGAAAAATACACCAGAAGAAAAGTGACAAAGACAAGTGAGAGATTTTTTTTTAATATTGCACATCAAAATTAGAAAATTGAGTAGTACATATCAATTGGACTTTGCACAAACCGTTCCTTCGGACAATCTAAGTTAAAAGAGAAATGAGAAAACAAATCTAGCCACAGAAGGACATAGTGAATGCTAGAATGTACACAAAAAAGTGTTCAAAGTGAGAGTCAAACTGACAGAACTCATCTGATCGTGGGGATAATTTCATATTGATCCCTTTCACTAATTAATCAGCAAACGAAAACTAAAGTTTAAAGAGATCAAAATTATTTCTATGGCCTACATTTGCAATGTACCTCGACCAATGAATCATGAACTCCTTCGAGGATTACAGATTTCAAACGAGATATAATCTCCTGCTGCCGCCAACCTGTAAAGACGCGTTCCCCAATAATGCATCTCGTAGTTCTTGCTTTTCTGCAGTCCGACCATCTTTTATAAGCATTTATTTTGTAGAACATTCCATAGTAGTATGAGAGTACATCCCCAACGGTCTTATTACCAAGAAACCTGCTCAACAGGCTTAGATTTTTGCCGAAAATGTAGAGCCCGAGAATAAAACATTCTGCCTCAGTACCACTCCAAAGCGAACTGGGCAAACCAGGCAATGGAGTAAATTGCTCGATTTCCCCTTGCTGGGTCAACGACTTATTGATAAAACCTGGACCTTCTTGAGTAGAGAATGGAGCCAAGTTCTCATCATGTGCTTGATTGATGCAAGATTCTATCTGATTAACAGGCAGCATTGAATGTTGATCCTGGTATGTTGAATCATGGGCATTTGTATTATTTCTGATTGGGTAAATTGAGGTCACCTGACTATCCTCGCCTTGGTCGCTAGCTCTTGCTTCGGATTCTGAAGAATGCTGCCTTCGCAAATCGTCCTCCTTATGGACTTCACTTGGTACCCACATGATTGGTATAGCTAACCCAATCATACCAGGGTAATCATAACCAAGTACGATGCTTTCTGGTGTGCTGGTCATGAGCCGATGGCGCTCAACCTCTGTGGACAGATTGGGGATTTCTGCCTGGTATTCACTTCCAATGTGTGGACATACAGGTGCTTTGTCATATATCACATCTGAAGCAATAGAAGCTTCTAAAGATGGTTGGTTTTCACCATTGTCTTTGAGTTCAAGTGACTCCATCTACCAAAATCAGAAGAAAAAATGTAATTTGTTGAGATAGATCACATATTTAAATTGATTAAGAAAACATGTATATAATCAACATTAGTAACTACAATGGCTTGTTTTTAAGTATATGAGCCAGAAGGGTACGTCGTTAACAGATCTCATTCAGGACATTGGTGAGAGAAAACAGCTATTCAAAAGAAATTCAACACATGAAATTTTTGAGGCCTGGGTACTTCTATTAGAGTTCTTGTATACTAGCTTAATCGTGTGATGCATCACTATTATACCTTCGGCGATAGAACACCACACTCAACAGGAAAGTATTGAGCAGAAATAGTTTACTACATACAGGATGAGCAACTTTGGCGGAAATATGTAACACACGTCCAGAGTTCAACTTAGGCCCCATAAGTAACCCACGTCCATCAAATCCACCTCACAAGACTGAGGACGAAATGCTTTCACAAAAGTGGTTAAGTTTTGAGAGGTAGACAAAATAATTTGCAAAATGCTAGTTCACGGCAAGCTCCCAGCGATGATATTAAAGATAAAATGCAACTGTAAGCAGGACAACATGGACCATCAAACTGTGACCTTCCAAGCTCCAAAAGTCAACAAAGCCTAGTGAGCGAGCGAATTATAATTTACATGGCAAAAAAAGAGTGTAAACACGAAGTTGGAAGCAAATAAAGGCAATGCATATCATATTGTATAACCACTGCTGAGGAGGACATGACTCACAATTGTAGAATGCTTAAAAAAAAAGCAAAACTGTTAAACGGTCACTTGTGTGTGTGCAACGTTAAGTCTGTAAACTGAGTCTTCTCCTAGATATTAGGATCTAGCAACGCTCATGGCCTGCGTGCCACTTTTCCAGGAGCACTTGCTCTCTCCCTTCGGGGTATATGTATACACATTGTAACTCTATTGATTCAGTGAATACAGAAACAATCTCTCCAACTTGGTATAACTTGGTATCAGTTACCAGGCGCCCCATGGCCGCGACCTCCTCCTCCACCACCGCCGCCACGAGCTCTGCCACCTCCCCCGGCGATCTCTCGTCCTCTTCCACGGCGCCTGCCGCGGCCTCCTCCACTGCTTCCTCCCCGCCGTTTGTTTTCGGCACCTCCCCCTCTCTCCTCAACGGCACCACTCCCGCAGCCGGCACCCAGTTTGCCCCTCTGTTCAACGCCGGCGTTCCCCCTGCTCCTCCGGCGCCCGCTCCCCGCCTTCCCATCTTCCAGGACCATATCACCAACCACATCAAGTTTCTTCTCAACCCCGCAGATCACAACTATCACAAATGGAAGACCTTCTTCCTCATGGTTCTCGTCCGCTACGGCGTCTCCTACCTCATCGAACATCCGCCGCCGCCAAATGCTTCCGCCACCTACCTCGAGCTCGATGCTCATGTCGTTCTCTGGATCTACGCCACCCTTTCGGACACCATGTGTGATCACGTCGTCCGCACCACGACCACCTTCGCCCTCTGCAACAAGATCCGCGACTACTTCCTTGCCAATCGCGCCGCTCGCTTCATGATCCTCAACCGCAAGTACCGCAACCTCAAGCAGGGCGACCTGTCCGTCTCCGAGTACGCTCGCCGGATGAAGCTCCTCACCGACGCCCTCGCCGACATCGACCGTGCCGTCACCGAGGTGGATCTCACCACCCAATTCCTCCACGGCCTCGACAAGCGGCTCGACACGATCAAGGTAGTCCTTGGTGACCAGGACCTGCCCTTCGACACCGTCCTCTCTCGGGTCGTCCTGGCCGAGGAATCCCAGGAGCATCGCGTGGCCGAAGAGAGCGCCTCCGCGTTCGCACTGACGGGTGGCAGTGCCTCTGCTGCCGGCTCCAGCACGAGCGGCCGTGCCCCGACGGATCGTACGGATCGCTCCTCCACTAGTGCTCCGGCCGCTCCTCCCCAGCCGCTCCCGCACCCTGGCCGTGGACGCGGTGACCGCGACGGTGGTGACCGTGGTGGCCGTGGCCGTGGCCGTGGGCGCGGCGACAACACTGGACGCGGCCACGCCGCTCCTCCCCTGGCGTCGCCCTTCACCGGCTACTTCGCGCCCTACGGGATGGCGATCCCCTACCCGCGCCCGGGCTCTCACGCGCAGGCTTATCCGCTCCTCCCCGCCCCGCTGGCGCCCGCCGCTCCGTTCCACCAGCACCCTCCCTCGTCATGGGAACACGCGGCCATGCTCAACGCCGCCTACAGCAATGGTGGTTTCCCCTCCGCTCCCGTGCCCGAGTGGTACTTCGACAGCGGCACGTCATCTCATGTCACCGGCAATAAAGGTAACCTCACCCGGTCTAGTTATTCTTTAAAGCACGTTCCTTCTAGCATTTTGGTTGGCAATGGGCACCACTTACCTGTCACGGCTACTGGCTCCACCTCTCTTCCTCCCAATGACTTTCGCCTTACCGACGTTCTCGTTTCTCCTCATGTTGTCACTAGCTTAATTTCTGTTCATCGTTTTACTAAAGACAATTCTTGCTCAGTTGAATTTTACCCTTGCGGTTTTCTTGTGAAGGATCTTCGAACTCGAAGGGTTCTCATGATCTCCGTTAGCAACGGTGACCTATATCCATTCTACGGCAATAACCATGCTCCACCGCCGGCATTCACCATCTCCACGTCGGATCTGTGGCACCGTCGACTTGGGCACCCCGGCGCACACTCCATGTGCATCTTCTTAGGGTATCCCCTCGAACACAAGGGCTACAGGTGCTACGACTTATCCACACGGCGCATTATTGTGTCAAGGCACGTCATTTTTGATGAACACTCATTTCCTTATACCCCGCCCACAGCACCGGCTCCAGAGTCACCGTCCGCACCCGATCCGCTCGCCTGCACCCGATCCTTAGCAGATCTCTCGGATCCGCCGCCCCCAACAACCTCGTACGGGCCCCACACCCCACCACCCCCGCCACCCCACCAACCGCGCGCCCCCGCTTCCACC